ACCTATTTACAACTACTTATCAAAAAGGAATTTATTTGAATTCATTTTAAAAGGCGCGAGCACGACTACCGACTGTTGCTCTGTGCAGAGGGCTTTGGTTTTTATACCACCTGTTAAACAGTTCACGATTAATCCATAGATCATTAGGTGCATAGAAAAGATTTAGGATGTTCTCGTGTATTCGCCGCCATACCAATGAACTTTCGATTGTTCTTGTACATTCGATCGGCCGGGCCGAGTCATTGCGGTGTCTCTTCTTTAATGCGATTCCAGAAAGTCATATGGGGGCGGGACATATTAAAACGGGGCTGATTTCGCCACATTAGTAATATTTTTCATTATTTTTTTTTACCTAAATTCTATTTTTTATTTTAACTATACTGTATCAAGTTAATTTTATAAGGACATTACCAAAAAATTAAATATTTATCATTTCAGTGTATTTTTATTTTTGTTTATAGATATTTTATGTGCTTGCTATATATTTGATATACGAGCAACATATTTGAAATGCGGTAGCAGAAAAAAGACTGTATATAAACTATTTAAAGTATTATAATTTTTGGTTAGAGCTCGCTTTTCTCGTTTAATAATTTTTGAACAATATACTTAACAATACTTAACAGTATTTTGTGTATACTATTAATTTCTTTATTAATGTTGTCTATCTTATTTACAGTTAAGCGGCCTACACAAGTCCAACTTGGTTGATCCAACGGTGCATTTAGAAAACAGTTACCGATAGTGAATTGGCTATTCTTCTAAACTGTTCTGGCGGTCCTTTTATAAGTTATAATCCACGGTGTTAAACTATTTAAAAAATCCTTTAATTATTTCTTATTTTTGAAAGGATTTATATCAAACCATGTTATTATTATATACAAAAATATATTTTACAGTTTTCTCTTAAAACAATAAGAAAACATTTCTTTTTAAAAATGTTCGTGGACCATACTTTTATTGATATCGGATCAATAAATAATTTTCCCAATCAGCGCGATTACTGATGATGTTGCCCGTATTACTCATCAAGTAATATTACTGTTTGTTAAATATGGATCTTGTATAGTACAATTCTTTTAAAAGTTCCTTAATATGGCCGACCTAGTTACGGAAATTGGTAATTTTTTTAATGAAAAATAAGTTGGCGTTAGCGAATTCAGAAATTGATTTACTCTTTGGTTAACAATAACATTTTTCAGGATTGTCAAGTTGACGTTAAGTTAGGTTATTAGGTGGTTGTCATAAATCATAAATAAAAACATAGATTATTGAAATTATTTAATAAGAATAAAGGTAGTTTACCGCAGATCCAAAGAGATTTTACTTAAAGGTATTTCATAAACTTTCTCAGTCAGAATATTGACTCCCCTGTGTTTCTTATATTTCAGTTAAAGGGACGTAAGAACTATAGGAAGTGAATTTTTGTTTTCATGTTTTGACGATATCTGAGAGTTCCTAGAATTATCAAGATTATTAAATAATTATAGTTATTTAATAAGTGAAATTAATAGAAGACTTGGAAATAGGATGATGCGTTTCATGTTATAGTTGATAGATCACCCAATTTCTCTTAATTTGTTTTTATTTCAGTACAGTTAATCACAAATTGAATTGATGTGTGCAAAAACAGCTATATATTTTCAAACATCTTATTTAAATAGTTCTTTTATATACTGTTAAACTGTATCCACTATAAAGTCTTTAGCAATAAGTTATAAGGTAATAAATGTTGTAGATATAATTTATGAAAATTTATATATAAAGATTAGAACACAATTCTCTGAGGGAAAAAGAAATACTGAAAAACTCATTAAATATACTTTATTAAAAATAACAACATACAAAAACAGTCATCCATGCAAACTGTAATAATCAGAACATTATCCACATTATACCTAAATTTGTGTTCACACTCCTATCAGGAAAGCTATAAATGTTTGTTTAAATATTAACTTATTTTAAATTCACAGAAACACATCAAAATATGTTACAACCACAACGATATGTTTGGAATCAGTACTAAATTTTATACCTAGTGATGCGTCAACTAACAAGTATAGGATAAAAAAGAATTCTTTTTTTTTGGCCCCTTCTTCTACTTATTGTATTTTGTTTGTAAAAAAGAATTATTAATATAGAGTGTAGTATACGATGTCCTGCTTATTTATGAAATGACTTTCCTTTCAAATGTGAGAAATACCAGTTAAATAAAACATAATTTTTGGTTTGGTTTGGTGTTTTATATTCTTATATATATATATATATATATATATATATATATATATATATATATATATATATATATATATATATATATATATATATATATATATATATATATATATATAGATTTATTAAACCGCTTTTATACGAGCCCATAAACTACGTTGCTTCATTGGGCTCAGACCCGATTTCGACATTTCAGGCCCGGGGTCGGGTCTGAGTAATGATTTCAGTGGTTATCGTCTAGAACGGTTTCCCCACTTCCCCTGACCAAATTTCAGCTGGGCCTGAAAAAATGGTTTTATGTTTTTTATATACGATTGGGGGTACACCGGTATTGACACGGGCGGCGCCACCTTCGACATTAGTATAAGTGTATAAGCCGATTTACGTTGAATCGATGTATTCAGACCCAAGAACCGGCAACACGGTAAAGCAAACTATTAAAGGGAAACGAAGATATAGCTGTGTTATATTTGGTAGAAAACAAAATGCTCATACTCTAATTAGAATATTAAGAAATTGAGACGAAAAAAATCCGGTCGTTCGGCTAATAAATATTAGAAACAAAATTATTTCGATTGGCGGGTCAAAAATTGTACGAGTACCTAAAAATTTATTTCGATGCTATGATTTCGTTGTAGAAGTAACTAAATTTTTTTTCATCTAAATCGATCAGCGCGTCGTGTCAAAGAATTGTAGGAGTAACTACAAATTTATTTCGATGCTGTGATTTCGCTGTAGAAAAGTAGTACCTAAAATTTATTCGTCTAAATCGATCGTCGTGTCAAAAAATTGTACGATTACATAGAAATTTATTTCGATACTATG